AGAGTTCAACTAAGTTCTCTGCTCCCCAGCAGTTGTCCCAGGTCAGGTTTAGTTTTTGGTGCAGTGATTCACAGGTAAAGGTCATAATTCCTGGAGGAAGTATGGCCCCACTGCCCTTCCCACATGGCTAAAATAGAAGGGTCCCAGTTGCACAGGGATGGGAAGAGCCACTCTGATGAGGTACACACCATATCTAAGGGAGCTACAGGAGTGTCACACCAGATCAGAAGGCAGTGTGAACACTAATCCCCAAGACAGTGCCAGGCACCTCTCCAGTGGGAATGTCCAGGGGCTGTGCAAGGCACATGCATGACCTGGCTGGGATGCAGGTTTAAGTTACACAAGGAAGGATCCTCAGCCAGATGTGCCATCTGAAGTCAATCAATGCAGCGGCTTGGAGTGGAAAATCCTTTACTTTTCTTCAATAACAGGTGCAAGACAAGTAGTGGCAGCTTCCCACATGCCCTGCAGCTCACTAGCAAGCCTTGGTCCTGGTATTCATGGACTTCCCCTGGGACAGGAGCAGAGGCATTCAGGCTTCAGGACCTCACTGATAGCATCAAAGGGCCAACTACTGCGGTAGTCTCAGTGCTACCAGTACTGGGTACACTGTAAGGTGAGCTAAAGTGTCAAGCAGCCACTTGCCAGCATACAAATTCCAGGCAGGCTTTCAAGCAAGGTCCTAAAGGTGTAAAGCTGACCCAGACAGCCTCCTCTCCTGCCAGCGCAGTGAGATGCTGGGTCCAGCTGCTGGGCATGGAGCATATGGTTAATCCTACTATAGATACAGTGACTAAGCTAGAACTGAAACATTACTGAGGGATGAGACAGCAGAGGTTTGGTGCCTTCAGCACACGTGATGGACTTGCGGCTTTGCTATATGGTAAGCAGCATAGTTGGAAGAGACAGCAAGAGATGTGTGCGGTCATCCACACCAGGGCTCAGGTGACAACCTGCACACCTTCTTCCTTCCTGTCCACCAAGCAGAATTCACCAGGAGACTGAACCCCCACCCCAGAGAAGGGAAGTGGGGGAGGGTCTTCCAACTTCTGGGAGATGCAGACTTCTTGTAGGTGTTACAGGAACAGCAGCTTTGAGACGGTCATGAAGGATTCTGGAGGTAGGGGTGGGCCAGGCTATGATCCTTGCAGAGAGAGATTTCCCCAGGACGTCTCATGTTGTTAGAGCTGGAGAGAATAGAGGTGTTGTCAGGCTGGGCCAGAGGCTGTGAGAAGGCCACCTGGTTTGTGCTTTAGGCTACCAGGTCCAAGGTGTGCACTGAGCTTTGGTCATTGCAACCCCTAACTCTGCACAGTGCTGCTTAATCATGTGGGTGCCACCCACCCAATCTTCTCCATGCTTCCCCAGATCAGACACCTGCTTTGCTCCCATCTACCCACTTGTGCAAGATCCCGACCAGTTCCCCCAGTCAAACTCTCCCAAAAGGCATTGGCCCCACCTTGACATCCACCTACACAGCCCCACCACCTCTATCAGGCAAGGCAGGCTCTCACACCACACCCATTAAGGGACAGGATCAGGCCCTCATTGTGCTCCTTTGTGCTGCTGGGGGTGAGGATCAGTCCTGGGGCTGGGTCCTAGCTCCAGTACTGATTGCTCAGGTTGCTTCTGCACTTACCTTGGTGTCGCTGGCAGAGTCTTTGGGCCACTTGGTCACGAAGTTGTGCTTTGCTGAGCTATTCATTTTCCCGGTGTCCTGGAGGGAGAGGAGTCTTAGGTTGTACACATCGCTGTCCTGGGCAGTGCTGCTGCTGATGCCTACAGTGCTGCTTTGCCCTGAGCCACACCTGAACCAGACACCTGGATCCACACAGACCCAAGCGATTCAGGTGAGATCTGAGTAAAGCAGCCCTGCCTTACAGTACCACAGCTGGCAGATTTGGTCTCTTTTGTTAGGACCAACAGTGCGGGCCCAACCAAGGCCAGTGTGGGGAGGGATGTTTGGAGGGGAGTCACTTCACACAGGAAGAACTGGCAAAGTAGCTGCAAGGCTTCTCCAGAAACACCCCAAGGTGGGGGCTCCCAGCCCTCAGGATGGAGGAGGTAGAGCTGCAGGTGGGTGGCTGAGACACTCCTTAACTCAGCCATTCCCTAATCGTGATCAAGCTGGATACAGAGATCTTTTGGGTCCATACTTCCTTCTTTCTAGGCAAATGCTCATGTAGCATCCACTGTTTACAAGGGAGACCTCACAGAACCACCCTCAGAGGGCCACCCTGAGCCCATGTACGAGCTGCTGCCTCAAAAACTGCTTGCCGGGCCCTTTACTTCCAGCCAGGCCACATGCCTCCAGCAGAGTCTCACAGCCACAGGGACTGACCCCTGGAGCTGCCTCGGACAGGTGGTGGTGCATGGCAGAGCTGAGTCCGGAGCACACCTGTAGGGTCTGTGGGATGAGGGATGTGCATATTACTGAGCCCCAATGATGCATCTCTGCTTGCACAGATCCCACGCTGCAAAGGGATCCTTGCAAAGCTTGGGGGAAAGCAGGGCTGGTTTGTGATGCACACGGATAGTGCTGCTCTCTCCTGGGCCTCTGCCAGCTCTGAGCCCTAAGGACTAGTAACCACAGTCTCTCAGGCACCTCCCCTGGTGCCCCTGTTGCTCATGGCAGGCTGCCTACACCCCCTAGTAGTGTCAGTGAGCAATTTTCCAAGGAGGCCACAAAGAAGTCGAGGCTCTTGGCTTGGGACATTAGTGTAATGTCTCAGGAGCAAGGGACCCGTCCCCAGCAGTGATTTGGTTCCTCAAGTCAGAAGTGCTAAAAGGGTCTATTGAGACTCAAGCCATGATGCCCTGGCCAGCACTTGTGTATAAATAGGCCCTTTTAACTCCCCCTTGAAGTAAAATTTCTGGTCAACATAATGCAGCCCTAGCTGCTGTAATGATGTAGGGCCCCTGGCTCTACCATGTCACCATTGCACCGCTGCTCTCATGCAATGCATCCATGTATCCAGTACCTTGGCTCCACTGTCATTGCTGGGCTCCTGAGTCCTGCGGATCCAGAGGTTGATGCGGGATGACACCACATTAGGTATCTTCAAATTCTCCTATAGCACAGTGGGATAAACATGTTACAGCACTAGGAGCTAGAATGGGTGTGTGTGGGGTAACAACATACTGCTGCTTAGGGGGAGAGGTAAGGAATACCCATGTCCATTCAGATCTTAGCCAGGGCAGCCACTACAGTAGCCCAGACCTCCAGGGCACCATGCTAGGGCAAATGTTCAGCCCTGATCCTAAGGGCAGAGTGCCACATGCTAACTGAAGGGCAGTGATTGTAGTGCTCATTCACATAATGCAGGAGGCCCATGGGGAAGAGGCTCCAGCACAGAGAGGCTACACCAACCTTCTCCTTCCCTGGCTGCAGTGCAGCTGCAAGGGAATTTCCAGCTGTCTCCACAGGACCTGGCAAGCTCCTTGAGCAGTAGTTAGCTGAGGCTAGAGGGGAAAGTCTGGACACATCCGGCTCTGCAAGGAACTGCCCCTGGCCCGGGGTGCCACTGGGCTGCAGTCAGGACAGTATCAGCTTGGCATCCTGAGCGGGAAGGATTTTCCCTCTGCTCCCTCCTGCTACCGGCTCAGTGCCTGGTCTGGGTTCTGCCACTAGTTCTGCCAGGGAAGGGAGAGTGTTGCCTGAGGTAGGACTCCCAGGAGCCCCATACCCATAGGGTTGCCATACGTCCGGGTTTTCCCAAACATATCCTTTTTTTGGGTCCTCCAATCTCCATCCAGGTGGTTTTTTAAAATATAAATAAATGGCCAAGATTTTGCTCTGTTCAGCATCAAAGTTTTTCCTGGCACTTCCTGGCTTGCCCTAGCCAGGAGCAGCTTGGGGCTGGGGGTGCCACATGCATTTGTGCACACATAGCTGGCATGCAGCCAGGTAGGAGCAGCTCCAGCAGGTGGATGCAGGTAAGCCTATGGAGAGCAGGGGTTTGTGGGCCAGGGCTTGGGGACTGTCTGGGGGGCTGTGTGGGGCATGTGAGTCTGTGTATATGTGTGTGTGTGTGTGTATATACATGTGTGCGGGGGTGTGCAGAGGGGATGGGTGCTTGCCAGTGCTAGGGGAAGCTGTTCAGTCACTGGAGCTGCAGCGAGGCAGGGCAGGGCGGGTTGGGGGGAGGCTCCTGCTCCTCCAGTGGGGGAAGGGGGCAGGTGGGGACGGTCCTTCAGGGGCAGCAGGGAGCTGTGTAGCCCGGCCGGAGTACCAGGGTTGGTGCCCTTGCTTGCAGGTGCAGGCAGCCAGGAGATGCTGCAGGCTTGTGGGGTGCAGTGGTTGCGGGTCAGGAGTGAGGGGCACCAGGGGGATGGGAGACGGTGGGTCAGGAGTGTGGGGCACTGGAAGCTCCAGGAAGCTGCAGGTCGGGAGTGAGGGGCACCATCATTGCCCAGGGGGTTGCAGTACTGTGGGTCCAGAGTGAGGGGCAGCAGCAGGGCTTGAGGTGGGCCTGTGGCCTGGGAGCAAGGGGCAACGGCACGGGGAGAAGCAGGGCACCGGCATATCACTAACCCCCACAATCGTATACCTCCCCTCTCCACCCCTCAACAGGTGTCCTCTTTTTTGAAACTGGAAATATAATATAGTAACCCCGCATACCCAGCACATGTTCCAGACCCACCCCAGCCCTTACCTTCCTGGCAGGAGCCTGATCAGCCCTGCTGGTGGCACTGGCCTCAAAGATGCTGCGCTTGCTGGCCACACTCTCCGATGATGGTACGAAACCTCTTTGGGCGGCCCCGGGTGCTTTTATCAGCTCAGACCGCTAGGAACAGGTGGGAGGGGGAGTGGGGTTCAGAAGGGGCCAGCTCTGTGCCCCAGCTGCTGGGGCTCCTGGCTGGTCCCTCCAAGGCTAATCTCCAAGGAGCCCCATGCCCCCCCCCAGCAGGGGGAAGGAGGGAGCCCTGGTTCTCAGCATGGCTCCCTGCCCAGTAGACAGAGGGCCTGCTGCCTACTGGATAGCCAATGTTCATGCATTTTCCCTGCATCACAACACATACCTGCTGGGGGAAGCCTATGTCCCCATTCCCCCACATCCCCAGCCATCTCTACTTGGTAAGAGAATTTTTGTTCCCCCTCTCAACATTGCACCCCATGGTTTCTCTTCACCCAGGTCAGACAGGGCACATTCTCTGACCAGGCACAGAGGATCAGACACTTAACCGCCCCCCCCGAGCTGGCATGGCAGATCGACTGGTCAGAATCCACAGACCTCAGAGCAAACCCAGCTGAGGGTCCCTCCCTCATTACCTGTACAATTGAAGTGTATTTTTGCAGCTTCTCTTCCAGCTTGACACTGCTGGCGGGAAGTCGCACACTGGCACTAGAGAAGGGGAGGGAATGGGGGACTTGAGTGTCATCTCCCAGCATGCACACCTCACGCTGAGCAGCCAGCCAGAGCTCCTATCCCCTCCTTTAATCATCTTTCATAACTAAGATGGCTGTGCAGAGCTCTGCTTCAGTCTCCTTCTGCTGAGCATGGTTCTTTCCAGTTCGTACCCGGCACAGGATGTGCAGAGCTATGCCTGTGAATACCTGAGGCTAAGTCTAGGACAGGACCTCCCGTATTTGAGCCTGAGGAGCAGAGTATTTCAGGCTGTTGCAAAGGGACTAGGCCCCTAGGGACCCCAGCCCAAAGCTGACTTCAACCTGTGACCCTCTGACTTCCCACCACAACACACCAACGACCAGACCACAGATGGAGACAGTTTCGAACAGACAGTAGGGAAGGGTGGCTAGTGCCCAAACTGTGACATGGCACCTAGATTGCTGTGCTGGCAAGTCACAGAGACAGGTTCAGCTACCTACGTTGGGTGAGGGGGTCTCTGGCTGCTTGGGCAAGTGACCTACACAGTCAGATGCGAGGGCTGAAATTGGACTTCTCCTGAGTTTAACATCTGCTTGTCCTGGGTTTCTAGCAGGTTGCATTTCATTATTTAAAGACAGGTAAGTATCCAATAGGGGGGCGGGCGGGGTGTGTGTACAAGAGTGTAGCCTATCTGTGCATTCCCAATCTGCATGCATGCTTGCAGGAAAAACAAAATTGTTACCTGCAAGTAAATCCCCAGAAGGCAACCTGCATGGCTAGAAACCTGCCATTTAGAGGCATAAACTATGTCCCCCTCCCCCCCCAAATTCTGCTCAGAGAAGCTGATGTACCCAAGCCCGTGCACAAAGTACTGGTATAACGTAGGCCTGGACCTGGTCTCCTAAGTCCCAGGCTAGTGCCCTAATCACTTGTACCAGCCTATATTCACAGAAGTGAGATCCAGCTGCCTTTGGAAGGCCAAAGAATGGCTAGATGTTCTCTGACAAAGCAGATTTTTTGAATCTGTTGGAGCCCAAACC